GCCCGCTACACATTCATAAAATGCGTATTTTACTGAGAATTCGCCGTTAGTGTTACAGTATGCAGATTGGGGCCCATTTATACATTGATGCGTTTGGCGGTCGGCTGGCGATGAATGTGTGTTGACCTGGCGCGCCGCGGTGGCAGCGGATCGGGGGACCACCCCGCCCCGGTCCCGCCTCTGTCAGCGATCGGCCCTAATCACAGGGTGGGCGGCGCACTATGGTTGGAAACGGCCTCACGGATGGCCGGGGGTCAACGCGAAAAAATGTTTTGCCCATAACTTGTTAATGCGTAGACCGACTGCGATGAAACTTTGCATAGGTATACCAGTGTCTTTCGTGCATCATACAGTAACTCAGAAATGACGAGGTCACGTCACGTCACGCGTGTGTGACGTCATCATTGCAAGTATGTTATAAGTCGCCTATGTCTTTCGTTATGTTATCGATATCGCGAGGCATTTTGAACATGTTTTGAATACTGCTATTACTGAATGGATATTGTTGTTATGCTTTATGGCAAGACATATCAACGTAGTGACGCACAGTGTCTTACTATTGGTCATAAACGGTCAAAAATTTGGAGAAAGAGTATTTATGATTTTTTTTTAGATTGGGCAAAAAAGTAAGAAATAAAATGACGATCAAATGACAAAACATGCGTCAGATTAACCCGGCAGTTGCTGGGGTATTTCCCCATCCGCCGTTTGCCCCGGGGGGGGGGGGGGGCGTTCAACGCCCCCAGCCGATAACTCGCGAACAAATAGGCGCAGCGAAGCGCACGAGGCGCGGCAAACGAAAGAAGAACGCGACGAGACGATTCACATGAATACTTTAAAGTTGAATTTCGAGGTCACAGGTCGGGTCAAGGTCAGGTCAAACACTTGAAATCGGGTTTTCAGTAGCATGGACTTTAGAACCTCGCAATCGGTGCCTCGCGTTTCGCGTTTCGATTATATCGTCATCAGTTGGTCCTAAATAAATTCAGTCATCAGTTGGTCCTAAACAATCTGTCACAACTGTCACAACCCTTCATATAAGTGCTAAAAGAGTGTCAGATCAATGTAGGGGTCAGTCAAACATAGGCCACTGGCCAGGGTCAAAGTCAGGTCAATCAGGTAAGCACATAACCCCGAAAATTAAAACTGGTACCTATTCGCAGCCCATGCATGACACATGTTTTATGGGTACTTTTGGGCGTAGAACACGATGGGGACATTCATTTTATCATACGAGTACGTAGCTGGTTGAAAAAAGATCAATTTCAGAAATGCATGCATCATGGTCGTGAAGTAGTCACGAGAAATTGCCAACATTCAGTTCAAGATTTTGGGAAATGTAGAACGATGATCAAAAACCATAGATAGCCATTTGATTTGCCATGGTATTGGCAGTGTAATGGCGTTTACAGCATGTCTGTATGTCTGCTCTGTCGGTGGATATCCATATCCATACTCCAGGATATCCATACACGTTTGCACGATATCCATACTCCAGGTGCAGCGGCGAGCAGTTACTTCTTACGAGGGGTGCGGAGTCGAAGTCAGAGTCGGAGTCAGAGTCGGAGTCGGAGCCAGAGTCGCCCAGAGTCGTGGCAACGAGCCAGGAGTCGGAGTCGGAGTCGGGGTCGGTCAGGAGCCCGCAGTGGAAGTCGGAGTCGGTCCGAATCGGAACAGCTCCATCACGACTCCGAAACACTGGCAGGGGTCCGGAGTCGGAGACAGAGTCGGCCGGAGTCATGGCAACGAGTCAGGAGTCGGAGTCGTAGTCGGAGTCGGATTTGGCTCCACCACGACTCCGCAACCCTGCTTCTTACCATCATTTATAAGGATAAGCGATTGCAAGACTGACGAGCCGACCTGGTGCTAACGAAGCGACGGGTAGGTACGCCTCGGGAGATGAAGCTTCACGGACGATTTTGCGCACAAGTGCGCAGTCTGCTTTTACGTTCCCCTTACGCAGAATTGAACAGAGACTTATTCTGCCAAAAAGCTCAATGGAGGTCGATGGAGAACTTTTTGTATGTCCAATGAAACATGTGGTGACACTGCAAACAGAATGCAATGCCGTTCCTGATTTTGAACACGCATGGGAAAAAGAGTCACTCCACTCGATAGCCAACATAACAAGGATTATTTTGATATATAATAATCCAGTTTTACAACGTCATGGAGGTACTCCACATGCTATCACCAGCGCGGTTGTTTAAACCTTTGACGGCGCACCAAAAAAGCCACTCTCAGAAACTCCCGATTCCACGTACAATAATGGAGACTAAATGCGCAACTAAATAATTTTTTCTGCCCAATTCAAAACATTTCATCAATTTCCAACAGAATGACACCCCAAATATACATATATTCCGAGATTGCCCACGGCCATCCGTGAGGCCGTTTCCAACCATAGTGCGGCGGCCGGCTCCAACCGCGGCGCCTGCCCGTGGCGGTGATGGCCGCCGGATGCTGAGTGGCCTGAGATGCGACCGCCGGATGGGAGAGGTGCCACTCGTGCATCTTCTTGGAGGAGTAGTCGAGCTGGAGCGGGGATAGGCATCACTGGCGGTCGCAGCCGCTAGCAAAAGGGGGGGGGGCCAAAGTCACACTCGCGGGACATAACATTTATCCGTCACCGGGAGGGGGGGGGAGGTGATCGGCTAATTTTTTACGTCCACGAGGCGCCGCACAGTTGGCATTACTTTGCTTCATCCATCTCATTCTTGCGTAAAATCTTTGAGCTCAATTTAAGGCAAAATCACCAGATCCATTTACCGTCTCACGGTGTGCCCACCGGTCGGGCCGCTGCACCATGACGACGGATCGGTGTAGCATAGGTATACTGGAAGGTCAGGCACGCGGATTCATGACCTTACCACTATAAAACAATTCGGAAAAGTACAGATACCTCTTGCTAAAAAGTACAGATACCTTTTGCTTTGAACAAGCATGTGAAACCCAGAGAGCATTTTTAGACTATGACATTTGCCCATATAGGTACCTAGTTGTGTGGCGGCGGGAGAGAGTAGGTACACCGACCTCTGGAGACCCCCAAAGGTTCCGAGCTTTCAGAATCGGCATCTGAGGGCCGCGCGCGACTCCTGCGGGGCTTCGCAACGGCTCTGTTGGGGCTCACTCAACCTGCCTAGTCCTACTGCTAAAAAGACTGGCCCTGAGCCCTAAGGACTTCATCAGTCTCTGCCAGCCCCAGGACCCACACCGGCTCATGGGGTCCCGACGTCGAAATATGAGGGAATCAGCGCGGGACCATCAGGACGTAAAGCAATCTCGATCAGGACCAACGTAAGGCTGTGCCGGAGACTGCGTGAGCCCTCTGATCTTCAGAAACCCACCCATGTATGTTTTCATGTAGAGGCCAGTTTAGGGCCCTCAGAGACCAGTACAGGGCCTGCAAACTACAAAGGCCAGTAGTTTGAGACCATCAGAGACCGAGTTGGGCTCTCAGAGGCTAATGTGGGTCCTTACTCATTACAGGCCAACATGGGCCCTCAGAGGTCAGCGTGGGGCCCTAAAAGACTGGCATGAGCCGTCGTTAGACCCCAGAGGCCAGCAGAGGGCCCTCAAAGGCCAAGATGGGCCCTCCTCAGAGGCCAATGCAGACCCTTAGAGGCCCGCATCGGGTCTTCAGCAGCCAGTGCGGGGCCCTTATTTGCACCTAAAGGTTCGTCTTGGGACACCAGAGACAGAAATAAGGCCACCAGAGACCGGTGTGAGACCCTCAGACGCCGGTTGGGACCCCTGAGGCCGGTTAGGGGCCCTCATAGGCCAGATGTGGGGCCTCAGAGGTTGATGTAGGCTCTTAGCGGTCAACGTGGGCGCTTGACCGCCACTGAAGTTCCCTCAGAGGTCAGTGTAGGACGCTCAAAGACCGGTGTGGGAGCTATATTAATAGCTTGGCGTGTTTTTTTAGCCTCGTGACGATCGAATAATTGCCAGGGCCCCATACACCTATATGGGAGCCCATTGGTTGTTTGAGGGGGGGGGGGTCAAATGATATGATGGCCCCCTTTATTGACCTTTGGGGGCATGGCCCTGATGCCCCCCCCCCCCGGCCCCCCGCGAGTCGCGACCGCCACTGTGTTGTGTACACATTACACACATGCCTCTGAGATTACATACTAGCTCAGGCAAACTCTATGCAGGCCCCGAAGGTCCCACGCTAATCCTTAAGAAACCAAGCCGGCATACGGCATCACCACCGGGCTTCTGAGGTGCACAGCACCAACCCATGAGGTCTTACTTTAGTGTCTTGGAGCCAATCTCCTTTAGCAGGGCCCACCCGCCACTGCCGAAGAGGGTCTCATGCCAGCCATTGCTGAATGCTGGGCCTACGAGAGCCTTAAGTAAACCCACGCTGATATTCCATATAAGATCCAGCCATACTCGTGAACCGCCAACCGGTGCCAGCGACGCTGACCGCCAAATTGACAGAATGCGAAACTGAGCCCACTCATGAGTGAAATTTACGTCCTTTGATGGCGCAAGAAAGAAAATGAAACATACGAAAAGCTTTTCTAGGACTTTTGTTCGATCTGAAAGGTGGGGCCAAAAGATAGTATGGCCCCACCTTTCAGCACCAAAGGGGGGGCCATGGCCCCCATGCCCCCCCCCCCCTGCGACCGCCAGTGATAGGCATACAAAAGCCCACACAAGCGCACACAAATCTTGACAATCAGGGTGACGGGTGTTTGTTTATGGGAGAATAATAGCAATACTAAAAACGATGACAACCCGAAAAAAAGCTCGAAGCAATGATCTTGCATGCACAGCAACTTCCTACGATCGCGAGCATCACTTATTTTCGCTTCACCTGGGCTGTGAGGCCGTTAGTGATGTTGTTCACCGAGGTCATTAAAAAATAGCCTACAGTCTGTGATGTTTAGAATATGTCCCAACTGGGCGACGGTACGCGGTGGGATTGAGATGCTGTACGAGTGGCAGTGTATGATAACTGATGTGCACAAACTGTGTCTGTGTGCTCGCAGAATGAGACCGGACAGGAGCGACACGGTGCTGCTCGGAGCTGTACTGCTGTGCTGCTGCGCCCTCACCATCGCCAAAGCCATCCAGAAACGGGTGAGAACGACATCGCCTCGTGGAATTAAGTCATGTAATGAAGCCAAACCTGCCGTTAATTAACAGTAGGCCGTTAAATCTATCATCACTTTCCCAAAGGATTAAGATTTATTCACTACATAAGGTGTGTAGAAAACGGTCCTTAAAGGTAGTGTGCCACCTTTGAAAGATTTCCCATTTTATTTTTCCTAGGATAAGAAGCTTCTGTTTTTACCTAATATCGCAAAAAAAAAAATCAAAATGGGCCTGGAATAGTGCCTTTTTCGCATAAAAGTTTATCGGTTTTTCGATATGTATAACAACTGTAGTGGGCTGGCCTGCAAACAGGCGTCGGCAACAATCGCGAATGCGGCGCACATGTGACAATAAGCAAAGGTCATTATAGAGTTACGACGTACGGGAATGAGTTATCAGCTGTCTAATCGTAGACAACACAATGTCGAGTCTTAACCCCGCGGGGCTGGGGGGGGGTAAATTTTACCCCCCCTCGCGAATTTTTACGATATCTCAAAAACGGCGGCGCGCAGCGCCGCCAAACTTTCAGTACCTTTTCCTACATCAATTTGACACCTTCCCTGAAAATTTGAGCGAAATCTGTCGGAAAATTTTTGAGAAATTGACGTTTTAGTGACGTCATGTTCGCCATTTTCGCCTCAAAAATGGCAAAAGTTCAAACGCCGCTAACATCTTCATTTTTAAAGGAATCAAGACGTAACAAAAAAGGATATACGTAATTTTACTTTGTCTATCAAATGGCTATCTCGGTTTTTTTAAAATTTTGGATTTTGGCCTAAATTTTTTCAAAAAACTGATTTTCTGGGGAAAATCATTATAAAATCCAAAATTTTGAGTCTATCGAAAAAACCGGAATATATGTCAGAGAAGTGGTCTATGTGCACCTACATACCAAATTTTAGAAGAATCGGTTCAAAAATGTGGGAGTTATTCAAAATTTTATCACGTCACGACACACAAAATTTTTGAAAAATGACTTTTTTGGAAGTTTTAGACCTCGTACGGAAACAAAAATAGCACCATTCGATTCGCCGTGAAAACTGCATCAGATAGACACCTTTTTAGGCCTTAACAACCAACTTCAAAATTTGACCTCACTTGACCTGACCTTGACCTGACCTCGACCTGAAATTCATCCAGAGGTGGTCCATATCACTTATTGAGTGTGCCTATTGAATTCTATGAGTAAAATGACCCATAAAACATGTGTCGCACATGCCCTTTTCTATATTTTGTTTTTTAGTGACCTGACCTGACCTGACCTGACCTTGACCTTGACCTCTGAATGATATTGTATGCAATTAATATTGTCTTGGTAGCCTAAGAACACGTTTTGGGCGATCAGTCTCAGTCCATGACTCCATTCTTCGGCAACTACGGTGCAAGGCCGATACTGTAGAAACTTGCAATTTGTACCCTTGACCTGACCTTGACCTTGACCTCAAACTTTAAATTAAGTACATGTTTTTAGTAGTTCGTGATGAGAGCTTTCGATTGGCGTTTGAATTTTCCAAATCGGACCATTAGTTCGGGAGATAACAGGGGGGTAAAATTTACCCCCCCAGCCCCGCGCGTTCGGCTGGAGACCCCAGCCCCGCGCGGGTTAAACTGTAAGCCTGTATTGGTATTGTTTCTTTTTTTGGCTGTCGAACATTATTTATGGTTTGAAATATGATTTTACGTAAAATAATTGATATGAAAAAGCCGTCTCTTAAGTTATGACCCCATTTCACCACACGCAAGTGGCAGAAATGACAATGATCAGCTGACGCATTTTTCTTGGCCGAAGTCAGAGCGCGCGGCCCGACGCACCACCACCGCACCACAAAGTATGAGCAGAAGCCGCGCCCAAAGCCAGGGCCCCGGTAACGTGAGGTAGCCGAGTCGGGGCAGCGTGCGCTGACCTAAGCCGGGGCCGCAGCTTTGGGCGCGGTCTACCGCATCCCCGCGGGCAGCCCCGGGCTATCACATGACACCGGGAGGACGCGCGGCCCCGGCTTGGGTCAGCGCACGCTGCCCCGACTCGGCTACCTCACGTTACCGGGGCCCTGGCTTTGGGCGCGGTCTACCGCACCACCTAACAGGCGTGTTCGAAACCGCAGGAGATGATGATGAACGGGTTTATCGAAACTTGATTATCAAGTTTCGATAAACCCGTTCATCATCATCTCCTGCGGTTTCGAACACGCCTGTTAGGTGGTGCGGTAGACCGCGCCCAAAGCCAGGGCCCCGGTAACGTGAGGTAGCCGAGTCGGGGCAGCGTTGATTGGATGAGCATATCGGTAATAGCTATTTCAGTGTGTGCATTTATTGTTCATAGTGGTGTGAAATGTGGTTGGGGTACGACCGACAACCCGTCGGGGCGAATTTCGCACTGGGGTACTAAAAATTTGAAGAATTTAAGACGTTTCCATGAGTTTTGAAGGTATGGATAAGTTCTAAAAATCCGGTTCTCCTTATCTGGGCCATTAACTCCATACGGTCCAGGAAAGCTGGCACACTACCTTTAAAGCCCAAGGCTGAAATTATTCAGTCTTGTTTATGTCCCTCGGCCTCCAATGTTGATCCGTCTGGCAGCCAGTATGGACGAATTTGAGTCAGCCAGTTCCCAGTACTTTGCGACATTTGTTTTGAGGTATTCGACTTTGTGATATTTTAGCGAGACCTGTGCCTGTCGCCATGTGCATTGTGCATAGACTCCCGAAGGCAACGTTTGTGTTTCTTGCGGGCACCCTTTAACTAACTGATAAGGGGATAGACAGACAATGATTGCGTTTTTCTTTCGCAGGAAATTAGTCCAGACATGTTGTTTCAAGCAAAAGACAAGCGGCCATTCTGCAACGCTTTCACTGGTAAGATGTACTACCGGTATACTTACGTGCTAATTGCATGTATTATGCATACATCACTTTTATCTTGATTGCTTATTGGTCCAAGCCACTTCAGCTGTGATTGACGAATGCATAGCAGGTCGGCGCTTCGCTGAGTCTCAGCTCACCCAAAGTGGAAACGAAATGCTTCACCATTGTGCGACTGCGCCTTTCCCATCAGGGCTACCTAGGTCTCCAGAACAAATCGTTTGTACTGGATTCAGATCTGATGGCTGCGGGCGTGAGGGGACTGATTGCACCGTCCCTCACCCTGGCCGTCTTTCCAGGTTGCGGCCTGATAATCTTCGGCAGGCGAAGGCTGCGGCCATGAGCGTGATTATGTTTATAGCGCGTGATTGCGATTTTGTTCGGCAGGCTGCGGCCGTAAGAGGTCGGACCTGTCACTGCTGGAGGAGGCCGCCGGCGGACCGCCGCAGCCGCCGGCCGGCGCCGACTCGCGACTCTGGGAGGACCTGCTGGCCACCCTGCTGAGGGCTCGTCAGGAACAGGCACGTGAGCGGCGCCCAGCCACCGCTGCTCGGAGCATCTCGGTCCGAGCAGGGCGTGGAGCGAGGCAGAGCATGGGCTCGAAGCTCTGAGGTCGTTTATCGCTGAGGCTGCCTAAAATGTTACCTCAAATCGCGATGCTTGATATTTTCGGATTGGGTAACCCCTTTTGGTCCAAAAGGAGTTTTTCAAAGTCATAGCAATTGAAATGAGGAGGAGATATTAGCTGATGCGGTCACTGTTCATGGTGCACCGCCGCAGCACCGCCATTCCTGTAGGTAGAAATGGTCCTTCCTAAGTCCTCCTAATCGGGCGCACCCTCCGTCGTACGGTGTGTGGCGATCGCCCCGTCATCTGTTGGCGGGCTCGGCGGCTCCCTACTGATTGAGGTCGTTGTGTTCGCAGGCGGCGCCCCAGTACTACCGGGGTCGGAGGAGCGTTCCGGAACAGGCAGCCGTAGCACCGGTACAGCAGGTCAGTGGACGGCACCGTCTCTCTTGAAAGAACCGATACACGGTGAAACGGTGCGATCAAGCCCGAACGAGGGAGGACTGCTAAACTTGAGATTCACCGAACCACTTGACCTGGGGATGAACGAGGATGTCGGGGAGGAAGGCGAAAGAGAGTCGAGCTGATTTTAGCCGTCTGTTCACCATTGCGCCCTTTCCCCGCTTTTCGTTAGAGAGACAATCTTTATATACCCTAGCCACCGCCGCGCCGTCCAGAAAGATGGCATTGGATGCCAGCGGGAGGCAATGCTTTCCATTTTTTTCAGTTAGGGCGCATGGGCCACCGACGTGTTTCACGTCTCATCGCCATGGCCTCTGTGCTCCACGCTGACCGTGGCCTTACTGCATAATGCATCAGACCTTGTGCGTCACTGGGCTCTCCGGCTGTTTATAATGCATGGAGGACAACCGTTTTAAAAGGTAGCAGCGGTTACTGGAGGCATGTCGGACGTGTCCCTACTTAGCCGCGTCATTGTCCAATTATAACCCTCGCCCGCACATGCCATTTTCCCATCCTAGAACGCACATGGGGGGGGGGTGGTTGCCACCCCCCCCCGCGCCATTTCGTTCCTGTTGGAGATAGAGCTTAGCAGTAAAGACCAAAAAGATTCTTTGGGAAGAGACGAATCCAATGATACCCAGTTTTACCTTCTCAGGTCAGTCATTGACCTTCCAGGTCAGGTCAAACTAAAAAATGTTGCTGTTTTGGGTCACCGTTGGATATCAAGTGCGCTGCTTATCAAATACCGATGACGATGCTGTTTTCTGGTGCCAAGCCAGCTAGAACCTCTTTGTCACACTATCCGACCAGAATTTTGCTGCTGAGGTCATTTCAGGTCAAGTTAGGTCAAGGTCAATTATATGTGTTTGTATGTCTGTGTGTGTCTGTGTGTATACTGATGTGTGCACCGATTGTTTTTGGGTCCATATCACATGAAATCATGATCTGAGAAGCTTTTACCAAAAATGCAGTCAAAAAACTTCACAAAAAGTAAATTCAGCTTGCCTAAAACGCAATTATCTTAGATGACCTAGGTTGACCTTGACCCTGACCTTGACCCCTGTACATCGTCGAACAACGTGTTCCATGATAGGTGGGAGGTAAGACTGGCAAAAAAGGCCGAAATCAGGGTGTCAAAAGCTCACAAGGCCCATGGCAAACGCAAGATGTTGAGAATTGGCCATTTGGGTCATGACATGACCTGAAAAACAAGGTCATATCTCCGAAACCAAAAATCACAGAAACTTGAAATTTTCAGTGGACATCAAGAAAGGATAGACGAGCAGCTATACGAAAAATCAGCCTTCTAGCTCTAAAAATGTTGAGTGCAGAGCAGAAAGACTGCCTGGGGGGTGGCAACCACCCCCCCCCCCCATGTGCGGGCGAGGGATAATACTGTTCCTTTATTCATTTCTCGTCAGGTGTTTGAAGACATTAGTAGTCGGTCATTGGTCGCAGCCTACCTAACTTCATAGTTAAGTTCATTGTTAAGTGTCATAGTTATTAACGTGATGGCTACCAACTAATTCGTGTTTTACACCTGCATGTCTAAAGGTACCTACGTTTTTTGTGCGTAGTAGGTATGAAATATGAAATTTAGAAGAATATTAAGAAGTTAACAGTTCTTGTAACTGTAGAAATGACCAGTCACCCCTAAAGATAACTTAAACTATGATTGAATAGAGCATATGCTCACCGTCTTTTTAACGTAGATGGTCTTACTCCCCCTTTTCCTTTGGGCTACGCTAAGGTGAAAGTGATTTGAAACCAAATATTATGGCTTAATTGCTTGATTGGTTCATTATTTTCAAAGCACCCAGGTGAATATGGTAAAAAAGCTAAAACATTTGTTTTTTAATTTATTAAACTTTCAAATCATTGTGTAGGAGGATGGAAGAGTGAAAATGTTTATATTAGGTACTTAGGTAGGGGAGAGCGGGGTCATTTGGCCGCCCGGGTCACTTTGGCCGCCCCATGCCTACGCGTTTTGACGGTCCCGAGCGATTATTTTTTAATATGACTTCATCCGCCGTCATAAGAACTACTTTGGAAAGAAACTAAGGAAACTCGGCGACGCCCAGTTTTTGTAAAGCCAACGATATTTGAATTTTGGCTAAAAAACGTAACTTTTTCTTCTTTACGAAAAGTTGCATGGTGTCCCTTATTTGGGTGGCATCAACATTTTAACTCTATTGGTAGAACAATCTGGTAATTCAAGGAGCTGTCTGACCCTTTTGCAAGTTTAAGTAACAATTTTTGCTTGTCTGCGGACCTCTTTTCCTAAAAATGTCATATTGGGGTAAATTGGCCGCCCCATACGGGGCGAATTGGCCGCCCAGCGACTCAGTTGATTTTTTGCCTAGTCTGCGAGCGACGCGCTGCGCTGGCTAAGTTCTGCCACTAAGGATGGTAATGCGGCGGAGTCTAAAATGCAAGGGACGACCTAACCAAGGTGTCCGCTGATTGGCTTTCGGCACCCGGCGGCAGATGGTGACGGCAGATAAGCACGCCGCGGCCCCGGCCGTGCTCCAGCCGCCTGCCGCGGCTGTGCTCCAGCCGCCAGCCCCGGGGCCGGCCGTGCTGCAGCTGCCTGCCGCGGCCGTGCTCCAGCCGCCTGCTGTCGCCGTGTCTTAGTTGCTTGTCGGAAGCCCAGAGTCCATCCGACCACTTCCGCAGGTGCGCATCAACGTTCAAAAAGCCGGTCGGAAGAAAGGGCGTTCTAAAATCATGACTAACAGCCCGGAGCGGACGGCTTTGGAGGGCAAGCAACAGGCACGTATGGCGAGGAGCAAAAAGCGGGGTCCACAAGCTGGACCGTCGAACCGTTGAACGTCGGGAGCTGGACGTCGAACCATCGAACGTCGGGAGCTGGACCGTCGAAGAAACAGGGGCGCAAAGGTGAAAAACAGTGAAGCGCAGTGATGACTGGACATCCATGCCGTCGGGACCGTATTTTACAGTGGATGTGTTTAAATGCTGGGTCGAAGACGGGGCCTGCTGGAATCGTTTATATTTCATGTTTACGACAGAGTTTGAAATAAACAAACAACTCGTACACAAATAACTTTTTTTGCAGTGTGATTGTCGTCTAAAGCAATCTACGATTTGGCAGCCATTACAGTTGGCTGTTGTTATCACTGGGCAGTGCTCAACTCATGAGTCGTAAGTTCGTAAATCAAATGTTGCTCCTCACTTGCACTGATTCAAATGAATCGAGTGTAAGCCTAGTCTTTTGAAAAATTAAGGATTTCAGGCGAATCAAAGATGAGTCACGATGCTCATCATTTGTGTCAGCATTGGGGCATCTGGATCGTCACATCAGTCATGCGTCAAGTCAATCCAGAATTCATGAGTTAAGCACAATCTTGGGCGTCAATATTTCAGGTTGTCTCAGCTCTGTAATGGGTATATCTCTGAATCACATGCCCGGCCAAATGACCCCACTCCCCCGGCCAAATGACCCCGGTACCGGGGTCATTTGGCCGCCGTGCAATCTTTGAAAGAACGGTCAATTACTACCGAAACGAGATGTCCCGGCATGATGCAAGTAATATGCCGGAACAACAAATGAACGCCCCACACCCCTCCATGGAGAAATCGACCAAACGCGCACTGGTTTTCTCAAAATATCGTTTTTACAAAAGGGCGGCCAAATCGCCCCGTTCTCCCCTATATGCCGCTGACGAAGTGACAAGAATACAGTCGCGAAACTGTCCGGAAAAGCCGAGTACTTTAATCTTATTTCTATATACTTGCTGAAAACTATTATAGGAAAAAATGGACCTTAAATGAGCTTAATGAGCTTGTAAAACTAGTTAACATGTGATAGGCTTTATAGGTGTGATTGCAAAGAGCGGACGTTTTTCACCTGAATACGTTACCACTTTGGTATGTTCTGTGTCCTCCCATTTATTTATTCAATCTTTTACACTGTGTTTGTTAAATCCGATCAGGAATAAAACAGCGACTGCACTTATGTGACGACTAAGGTTATTATGAGTGGTGCACGTCAAAAGGGATTCATGCATTCAAGCAGCATGATAACTACATATTTTATGAATTCCGCGAAACAGTAGGATTTGACAATGTCTCCCAATTGTCACTGCCGACTGGAGTCCGTTTGGTTCCACAAGCTCATGAGTTCAGAATGCGTGTGAAGTGGAAACAAGTCACAAAACGTTTTGACACTCTCGGGTGAAAGGAAAAATATGATATCTATCCGTCGTTTTGTGTCGAGCCCCCAGTCAGGTGGTGCCACACCCAGGAAACCATTGATTTTCGTGCATTGTTCGCATCAGAGCGGTCCAAACAGGCGAGCGGCAGCTGCACGCGTCCTCAGACGGCCTTTTCTTACCGAGCCATTGTGACGCAGGCAGCTCTGTAGTCACGTTGCCATGGTTACCGCGGGTTGACATTTGACACAGCAACGCACAGTTCCCGTGAACCGTCGCCTCTCACGTGTCTACGCCATTTGTCTGACAACGGGCGAACCCTTGATATTGTTTTATATTTTCTATTTGCTCAAGACTAAGTTATATAAGTGTTACAAAGCGCATGAAATCAGCAAAACAAACAACAACATTGCATGAGGCGGTGAGAAAGGAAAAACAATGCATGTCAACTAAGTGCAAAATACATATAGTACATGTTTCAACGGTGCACACAGACACGACAGACATGCAGGTGCTGGATTGGAAATCATGTCACGGACACGCACTGAGACAAAAGAACAGAGCACAAGTTCTTCACATTTATAATTCTTAATGATAATGAGTTGCTTGAGTTGCAGGTGAAAACCTAAGTCTGCTTCCCCTACCCGAGGGACGTTATGGAAGAGGCATTGACGGTTAAAACGTCGAATTCAATCGGCTTCTAGAATCTGGAATCAGGGTATCGTCAGAACCGGTTGTTTCAGCACATATAATTTAACTATGTAAACGGTGTTTTCGGCCTTCCCGTAATGACTTCCGATGACTCGCGTTAATGACGTGCTATAAATAATGGCACAAGTCCAATAAGGCCGGCGTTCTTCCATACGTCATCCAGTTTGATATAGCCTCACGAATTTTACATCATGTGAAGCTGACACGTCTCTGTCTGCTTGTCAGGTCAATGAGCCGCGGGTGGCGGCGACGGCTCGCTGAGGACCGCCACCTGACCTGACCCTGCCGCGGGCCAGGCCCTGGGCGCGGGAACTGAGCGCTGACCACGGAGGCTGAGCGCTGGCCACGGGGCTGGCCCGCACTGACCCCTTGCCGACGGCGTCTCGGTGCAGCGACAGCCCCCAGTGACGCGCGCACGGCTCTCAAATCATCCGCCAGTCCGACCGACTGGTTCAATGGAGGCGCGCATCGAGTGTTATATTATGTTACGCCTGCATCCAATGGGCGCGGCTAATAGGGTTCCAGTTGCATTGGGCGAGAACGTCACCACATTTTGTCTCTTCCGGTCGTATAAGCGTACTGGGCGAATCCCCTCGCCGATGTCCACCACATGAGTGTTTTATGTAATATATGGAAATACATTTTTAAATGTCAACAACCCATAACCATGAAATAATCGAAGGGAAAGTTAGAACAATGTTGCATGTTCATACAAGTCGGTGCTTGCTTAGCGCTTACTTAATCTTATTCGTGACTTTGATAAAAGCTTGACATGATTAGAAATACTTACGCAACTATTAGGAGACAAGCGATTCACCCTATAGGGCCGGCTACTACCCGGCATTAAACTTAAGTACTTACTATAAAACGTCAATACCTGCCTAACATGTCAGTGGAAATGAGGATCTAAAAAGCCGAGGAAATAAAACAGTGGCTAATCACGCCACTCTCGAATTCGAGCGCTGTCTGTGTATGTAGAGTGTTCCCGTTCCCGTATCAACATACGAACGATAAAAAAGTGAACAGAAAAGGCTGAAACCTCACATCAGCCAATACAATGACATCAACCTTAAGCGACCATTACTGAACGATCAAGCTATACGGCTCGATAATGACATTAACCACTGCTGGCCTTGGATCGATAGGCGTTTGGGAGTCGGCTTATTAGAGTGTCTTGTATGATGGGCTGCAAATGGAGCTTTCCGCTAACACACGACCGGATGCCTCGATAGCAGCGGACTGGACTGAACTGACACTGGCGGACAATGAACTCCTGCCGACCGCACAGGGCAAACCTCTTCTATATTTATATCGTGTAGTGCTTTTGCAAGGAGCATTGATAATACTATAAATTAACTTTGAAGCGACCTTCTCCTTGATATTATGTCAAAAATGAAAGAATTATTTACATGTGCATTCGGGCACAGCCCATCATCAGATGTATATTTGAAAAGACAGCATATACATCGTCACAAAAACAAGAATCGACATTTCAAATTCAGCTCGTGAAAATGACACATCAGTATCCTTCGCGCCGTATGGTACCTATCTATATAAAACACACCTATAAACACACACACAAGCACAATTTTGGGGCACATACATACGATAAACTTGTTCTCACATGATACGCCACGAGGACAGATTTTCGTTCAGCCCAGGTTTTCTTTCACTTATGTACAGTGATTCAGTAATTTTCCTATCCGGATGGTCCCTAGTTTTTCACGAGCTGAATTTGAAATGTCGATTCTTGTTTTTGTGACGATGTATATGCTGTCTTTTCAAATATACATCTGATGATGGGCTGTGCCCGAATGCACATGTAAATAATTCTTTCATTTTTGACATAATATCAAGGAGAAGGTCGCTTCAAAGTTAATTTATAGTACTCTTCTATATTGGTTAACCCGCCGTCTTGCAGTTCTCATATACACCATTTAGGTACTTGAGTAGGGTGAATAGGTCAAAAACGCCCCCCTTAAGCGCGAAACCTTCTGACACTCAACCCAACACAGATTACTTAAACCTTTGGGCACCATCATGTAGCTCATTCTTTTTACTACGTTTTGAGACCAAGAAAAGACACCTGCGTGAGGTACTTAACTCCCCAAAAAGGTTTTCGCATACCCTTGCAATAGGGCGTTTTGCCCCATACCCTGGGTAATACGCCCACACCCATGTGCAAAGCGCCCCCACCCCATCTATCAACAGAAAATGATGAACATGGCAGAACTTGACGTCATTCTGACGTCATTTGTGGTCAACCTATCATAGCCTTTGGAATAAAATTTTGTTGCAATGTGTAAAATGGATGCCCGGAGGAGTCCTGAAAGTTTGGTGACGATATCTGCAGTCGTTTAGGATATATCAGCAAAAAAGGACAGGGAGAGGCCTTTTCGGCCCCGACCTACAGGGCGCTACCCTGCACTCTCACCACCGTGCAAAACGCCCCCCTTTCAGAAAACGGGGGGCGTCTTGCCCCATGCATCGAGTAGGCGTCTTGCCCCATCCACTCCATTTCCGGTCAACAAAATATTGACAAAAAACGCGCCACTAACGCCGCAGCATAATATATTCAACAGAATGACAATAAAACGCAGTTTTGAGTGATGTGCACAATAGCAAGTTTTGTGATATAAAGAGGGCATCAAAATATTAGGAATCTTCTGTAAAAACAACAAAAACAACACCCAAAACCAACATCAGCACCTACCCACGCTGCTCCTCAAGACTCAGAACCGGAAATAGAGACCTACGTAAACAAGCAGCTGACTGTTCTGAAAGACAGGATAAAACACCTATCCGTCGATAAGAAATACGATTCTTTTAGGGGAGGCGTTTAACCCAGGGGTGCGTTTTCCCCATAGTTACCCTATCTATAGAGTGAATATTTAACTGAGGGTGTGAGACTCCTGAATACGAGAAGGCACTGAAATAAGCAAACGAACGAACGCATAAAACGAGCAAAACGAAAAAAGAAACAAAAACAGAAAAGGCAAGAGCAAAGCAGGATGAATGCAATGCTTGGAAGACTTACGACACTGAATGATTATCAAAACGGTGCAACCCGGACGCTGTGCGGCTGAATATCATTAGGTGGGCTGTGGCCGAGAGGGTGCTAAACAGCTATATCAACCCGCAAAGGCATAAGCCAGCAGGCCTTATTTCTTCACTAAATCTTCCAGATTTTATAATTCTATAACGATTTACAATCCAGCCTAATAAAAAGCTATTTTAACAAATTGATTGCGTTGGCTAGATAAATAGCAAAATATCACATCAGTCACGCACATCACCATAACGGAAGCCAGCGACGCAGATAAGTCATGTAAGGGAATGCGCGCCACGAGTTGCAGCAATGGAGTCGTTATTGGTTTCGCCCACGCGGCCGACACACGGCAGCCATATTAGGTCGCCGTAATTGCTCATCTGAATATGTTATGAATCTACCCATGCTGACGTCATTAGCTCGAAGCCATTTTGTATAAACGATCGAAGCTACAAATAGGTAGTGCAGCGCAGTTGTGGCTTCGCAAAATGACTCACCGTGTGGACACATAACTATAGAATGTCTTCGATAACACAGTCTGTCAGAAAAGCTTTGTTTTTCGTTCATTCTATCAGGACAGCCAACATTAACTTTGACTCTGAAACTCTGAAGTGACAGCGTAACGCTTCCTTGGTTTAGAATGTTCCATTATGGATGCAAGGTCGCCATTACAAGAAAGTCGCCACATTTTACCAACAAGTATGATCGTAATAATTGCTTTGAAACGAAAGAAGAAAAGTAGCAAGTGGAATGTCAGTACGGCGTTTTATTTATAGCTCCTTGATCAATGATCAGCTATGGATAGCTCGCTTCGTCGAACAACCAATCCTTTACGGCAACGCCGTATGGGACTATAACGGTCTTGCACATTCACACAATCACATAAATATGGCACTCAGTCACATAGTCACACTGGTCACCAGTGGTTTACTTGTTACTCAAACAACAATCACAAACCGAATCACAACGCTAACAACGGTACAACTCATTGGATAAATAAGGACCAGATGATAATGACTTGACTTGCCACAATACACCAAAGTCGGTGGACGGTCAAGCAGACGTTATGGGTCGCATTAGGTAGCTTGGTGTCGATACACATTCCGGCTAACAGTGAGCGTACATATATACAGTTAAACAGAATGGCTTACCTACAGAATGATGTTCCGTTGCTTACAGGCATTCGGCTGCCTGTAATGGTAGGCTGTGCCGCAATACACAGGCTAAGTGATACACCGTAAACCTGTGCCGTTACGCGCGCCAATGAACCATAAACACTTAGTTGCGTGCTAAGCGGCACAACCTAGCGTTCCAGTCAACCTATGGCTAGTGAGGGTTATGACATTTGTAGTCAGCTTGTGTGATGTCCGTGATTCAACCCCCGTTGCCCATACTGCCCGGGTTAGAATCCGGGCATGTTCGTACCGGCCGTGTTACTACTACCCATATTCGTGCTGACCGCGTATGTGCCGTAGCATCGTATAGTGGACATTTACTTATTGAATGATAAATTCCGGCTGTGCCGGCCAGATACAGTCCAAAATAAAATATAAAGCCACTGTTACATAAAATCCGCCGGTAAAGTCCTTTGACAGCCAGGCTCTGATGGAATACATCAAGGTAGGTAATGACTGCATTAGAGATCGCTTTCAACATCATCGGCTTAGCTCTTCAACCTTTAAATAAAGGGCTCGCAGACATGCCTGTGGGTGCTACAGAGCAAAACAAATAACTGTCAATAATGGTGCAGTAAATAGCTTGAATCATGATAATCTAATATAAGTTTATTATCATTTATTTTATATTACGTTTACATCGATAAAAGTAGCATTGGTACGAAACTAATACTTGGTCCGAAGCAAATTATGTACACTTTGAGCAAATGAAAATCATTACCTACATTTTAAAGCTCAGTTTTTCAGTTTTTTTTTTCAGTTTTAGCTCAGTTTTTTTAGCTAAATCAAATTTCATTGCATGAGAGGACTAAGAATACAAAGGCAAAGGGCTATTAAACTGCTATCACGAATTTTTAAAATTTTGAAAATGCTGAAATTTATTTATAACAAGTTTTAAAATTATAGTTTTATTTTTCAAAAAGTTTTTGACTTTCAAAAAATCGGAATATATGTGAAAAAACATGCCCATGATTAACCCAAGCAAGTTTTAGCCCGGTATATCTAAAAATAACCAACTTATACGCATTATAGTAAAAAGTTCACTTTTTTATTTTTTCAAATTATTTTTTTTTTTCAGCACGTTTTTGACATCGCACAACGATATAAATAGCATCATCGTGTTCCTAAGCTCAAACTGCATCTGATAGTCCTCGTTTTTGTTGAAAGTTACAACTTCAAAATTTGCCCTTTTTTGATCTAGAAGTGACCTGACCCCAGCTATGTTCAGCTGAAAATTGTCTCAAATGACACAGACGACACTGCGTTCGAAATCTATGGCTGAAATAAACCATAAAACATGTGTCACGTGACCTATACCTACCTGATATAAAATTTCCGTGACCTAGGATGACCTGGCCTTGACCTGAACAAGTTGGAGCACAAGTTCGGTACCCATGGATATCTAAGGCATACATCAAGGAGTGTGTAACCCAAAAATGAGACAGATCGGACCTGTTATCCGGCGGCCAGAGCCTAAATCGTAAAAAGCCAAAATGTTGATACCTTTTACTTTGACCTGACCTGTGACGTCATCGATGACCTTGAGGTCAATAGAATTACAGATCGTTCAACAGTTTTTCCAGGGCTATCAGACGTCGCTTGAATTTTGACGATCAGCCCAGTGGTTTCGGAGATAGGAGGTGGGCTCTGTAGAACTAGAGCCCCCCCCCCCCCAGTCAGCCGCGTTATGGAAAATACCCCAGTCATGCGCGATTTAATTAAACTGCATCAATCAACAGCGTCCGCAAAGGGCCCGTATGATCACATGATGAAATCGGAGGCCATTAAAAAAAAAAAATGGACCGCAGCGCGCATGGATGGCTGGCGGCTGCACATGGACGCGTCATGATCCACGTCAATCAGGCGACACTTATTTTAACTCCCACGCACATTTTATTCCTGAGAGACGAGTTAGTCTAGGCATGTGCGTGTGGGGGGGGGGCCCCCACACGCACATGCCTAGACTAACTCGTCTCTCAGGACGCAACCGCAATCATCAATGCCTTTCGATAGCTTGTGAGCCGTCAGTCAGTGTACATTTACAATGTCCAATTTCTTTTGATAATTTAGACGGTTTAAGTTTAAGGTCACGTTACCAGAATTCCCAAAGAAGTAGGTAATTTATCCGATAAGATGCACCCTTGCTTTACCCTTGATTGAAGACCAATGTCGATCAATTTGCCATTTCTATCCATTCCTCGGCCGCATTGTCCGTTTGGGAAGTAGGGCTGAGGTGACGTCCGCCGTGATGCCGGTCGATGGCCCCGCCGCAGCGCTCGCCGTGCCGGAGTCGGTGGCAGGTCTCACTGCGGTCGCCTCCGTCGGCGGCGGCGGCGGCGGCGGCGGTCACTCCACTCGAGTCGCCGTCACGCCGCCGGCCGGAGCGGGGCTCATGTACGCCGACGGCGTGCGTGTGACCGTGGTCAGTGAGCTGCTGCGTGTCGATCCGCCGCCCGCCGCCGGACTGGACGCGGCCGGCCAGCCGGCGGCGGACGATGGCCAGCACCGCGACCAGGAGCGCGGCGAGCGCGGCCGGCCGCCGCCCAGCCGCGGCGCGCCGCTCTCGGCCGGGGCAGAGAAGGCGGCCGCCGCGCAGCAGGAGCGCTGGCTGCTGACGGGCGCCACGGGCCTGTCGCGCCGCTGGGTCACCACCACCATCCTGTTCGGCATCATCTTCGCCTACTGCGTGCTGGGCTCGTTCATGTTCCAGGCGATCGAGGGCCCGCTGGACCGCGAGAGTGTTGAGCGCTCGGCGGCGCTGCGCCAGGGCGTGGTGGACGATATCATGGAGCAGCTGCTCGCCAACTTGTCGTGCCACAACGCGTCCGAGGAGGGCGAGCCGGTGTCGGCCGAGTGCGGCCGGCTGCTCGGACAGCTGCGCGGCGCGCTCAACGCGCACGTCACAGAGCGCGTGGTGCAGTTCGAGACGGACCTAGTAGCCATGGTGAAACGGGGCTTTTACCGTACCAGTCCCCAGTGGGACTTTTGGTCGGGCTGGTTCTACAGCGGCACCATCATCACCACTATAGGTAAGGCCCATGAGTCATGACTTAAATGTTCTAACGACGCTGTCAGGTGCACTATACACTCATGCAGAGATCTTGTAGGTGGTAGAGGAGACGGTGCGGCCGAGAGCGATTTTTTTAAAGTTCTTGCTGTAATTTCTATTTTGACATATATGTTTAACACTTTACCTACCATTGAATCAGAACCGCTAGGAAGAATGTTTGAACGCCGCCAAATATTTTTCCAAATTTATTTTTCCCTATTTTACCAAAACAAGTTATTTCTAAAGACAGAGTCCAAAACGTCGATATCACGTATGTCGGTGAATAAACCCCCTTTTCGGCCCGGATTCCACCCAGGTTTGGAACGCCTCGGATCCACTTAAAACTTGAAAACAACACAGCCGGAAATGGAATGGAGGAATAGGTGACCCGAACCATTCATGCCTCGCGTCATGCCTCGCCGCTTAACCTACCGTGCTGAACTAAGTTCACGACATCAACTTCGCAAAGCAGATTGTGGCCCACCCAGTGCAGTGAAGAGTGCACCATACCGGCACCAAACGATTCGCAAGGACCTGGAACTACTTTGCCATTATCACTTTGACACCTATAGGTCATGCCATGACCTAAAGTCCTTTACGGGTCAGGTCGAAAGAACATTTGCACAACAGTTCTTAAATACAGTAGCGGCGGAACACCTTCAATTAAGGGAGGGGGAGGGGGGGGACACTGCCGACTTTCGGTCCCATTCTTTCCATGCAACGCCCATGGGCTAATGTTGAAATGCCCAAATCAAAGGGGGCACGGGGGCACGGTGCCCTCCCCGTTCCGCCGCCTATGCTTAAATATATGTACAAATAGGAAAATTTGCGATTAAAAGCACATCAATCGGTAGCCCATAGACCGTAGTAACTTTCCTTCAAACCGCCAGTAAATATGGGACCTTGTTGACCTATACGCAGTGGGAAGCGTTAAACAATTTGACGCAGTACAGATCCCAGCCCAGGTTCGGGACGCCTCTGATCCATTGGAAACTCGCACACTGACATATGTATGACACAACAAGGCCCTTGAGGCGTGGAAAAGAAGGCAAAAATCATTCCTCATCACTCCTAGCCGTTTAACCAACAGAGTTTAACATAGGTTACGACCCTCAAAATCTAACCATTAGGTTAGCAAAAGTGCTTCAGCTATCGATTATTCTTTTCACCACACTGTAGGTTCACGAAACATGCATCAATTTCTAACAAAATGTCTAACTTTGAGAATTTAAGCCTGTGTCTACAATCACTACGTGGCCCAGCCGAATTAGAGTGCATGCGTTCGGAGTTCGGAAATCTATCCGCCAGGTACCTGTCCAGCCGAGCCTTGAGGCCGCCCCACACTGGAACTCGCATGCGGGTTGCGAGTTTTTGGGTTTTCGGGTTTATTCAACTGTTCAAATCATACAATCTAAGCTGAGTGACCCACACTACCATCTAACAGGCGAGTCTGCATGTTTTTAGCTTGCGAACGACCTTGCATCGCATTCCAATAGTTGATTTTTAGTCAACTTTCGATTGCACTCGCTGCGAGGTCTGCGAGTTCTGCGAGGTTTGCGGGTTTTTCGTTGGAGCCGAATTTTGGTTCGTTGCGCTGGTATTGCGACTATGTGTAATTTTCTGAAGGTGTACCGGCTTCACTGCATTCATGAAGTTGCAATAAAGAACGGTCTAATCACTCTATGAATTAGTATTGTGCCCGCAAACTCAAAACCCGCAAACTCGCAACCCGCATGCGAGGTCCAGTGTGGGGCGGCCTTTACCTCGACGGTTAATTCTGTCAATGAATTCTAGGATTAATTATGAAATAATGAACGATCGAATGCTAAGGATTTGCGCAGTAAGTGGTACTTATCTAGGTAAGAATATACACAACATACCTACAGCGGCGTTCGATGATAACTGCATAAATGATGGCACCTGTGTGGTAGATGATAAATCATATCATTCGTTCTTAATAAGGCAAATTATGGCGGTGATTACCATCACCGAAGGAATAATCACTATTTATTCACAACGATCTATTTATAAACCACGTCCACGTGTTAAAGGGACCCTCCCACCTAACATTAGATTTGAGTTGAGATAGCCAAAATGGGGTCCCTGGCTCATAATTACCGGTTTCGGCACTCACAACATCGAGAAATGCCTTAAATCGGAAATATTGAATTTCAAAATTGCAGCATTTTGATTCAGAGGGGCTAATGCTTAGGAATACCCCTCTGAATGTGTGACGTCAGCGCAGATATTTAACGATTTTTAAATGTTTGACTAAAACGTTTTGTAGCACGCGGTGGTATATGCTATTTGCGCGCAACATCTGCCGCAAACGCCGCACTTCTAAAATAAAGTCGCTAGAAACAGCGGAGATCCCAAAAAAGTAAACAAAAGTAAAAGTCTAATATCTTGAGAACCGGTGAATATTTTTCGGTGAAATTTGGTAGATATTCGTTTTCGCTCTTTCTGAACCGAGCGACATCACTTTCATGCCAATTCATAAACTTTTTTGAAGGTGGGAGGGTCCCTTTAACGTTTCGGAAATCACATTCGGCTATAGAGCCGTGTTAATGAAAAGTGGTTTGTAGCATAAGTATTAGGTAACTTACATAATTTACCCATAGTTAAAATTTCTTGTAAAATGCAACGCACGCTAATTTACATACCTACATTTCAACCTAGAAGAGCTACAAAAAGGCACGAACTAGCATTGCTTTCAGTGTATTAATTATTTGGTCACCTTAAAAGCTAAAGCAATTGAATTCTCTTTTTGGGAAGGAGGGTGGGGGGAGAGGACCACCACCTTGAAGACTTTCTTCGCGATTACTTGAAACGCGTAGGCAATAGCTGAAATTGGCATACCTGACATGTGATTCAAGCTGTATGTTCTGACCCCAACCGAATTTCCAGGTCAGGCCACTGACCTAACGTCATACCAGAGGTATGTCATACCAGAGCTCTGGTACTTGACATAACGTCAAGTACCAGAGCATCTTTTGCAATTAGATGAAACTAATATGACCGTAGATACTAGATACCTCTCTAGCGCTCGTAAGTCAGTCCAGGGCTGCGGAGTCGATGGATTTCCAGCGACTCCGACTCCGACTCCGACTCCGGCTTTCAAAAACCAGCTCCGACTCCTACTCCGACTCCGGGCAGAAATGTCGACTCCGATCGACTCCAACTCCCGACTCCGACTCCGCACACCTGGCAGGGCTGCGGACTCGACAGATTTTCGATGACTCCGACTCCGACTCCGACTCCGCAGCCCTGTAAGTCACAACTCTATATCTCAGGTTACTCATAAAGGTCACCTGCGGTCAGGTACAGGTCTCGCAGCTTTTAACGGCAGGTTTTGCCCCTATAAAATTAAGTAAATTTCCGGCTAGATCTTTTTCGTCTTAAGCTTTTAAGGGTTGAAAATGCGATCGATTTATTCTCACACATGCCTGCCATGATCCTCTAAAATGGCTTTATCGTATAGCAATTAGTTTCTGAGATATACCTAATGCCGGGAAATGCCATGTTGACCTTGAGTGACATCACATATGACGTTGCCAAGCTCTTCGGAATCCTCCATGAACCAACAATGAACTCAGAAAGACCTCCCGAACCGAATAATATGCAACATGATCTCATTCGACCAACTGAGTGACTTAAGTGGCTTTGACATTACCTTAACCTGAGCACTGGCGGATCCAGGGGGGGGGGCCACCGGGGCCATGGCCCCCCCCCAAAAGCCTGAAAGGGGGGGCCAACATATCTTTTGCCCCCCCCCCCAAAACGCTTGAAGAAAAATTAATGTGAGATGGTTGCGTAGTAGATACCTACTAGAATCAGCAGCGTGATTCAATAGCGTAGAGAAAGTCAGGGGTGCGGGAACTACTTTCAGACTGGGGGGGGGGGCACACCATAATAGAGATCAACCTAGGGTCCCCCCAAATCTAGTTTCTCACCGGTTTTAGGCCACTTATTTTTCATCTCTTGGCTTTTTCAACAAAAAAAGAAAACATTTGCAAAAAGGGCGGTATTCCGTCTGAAAGTTGTGGTGGCACCGCCCCCCACTGGTGGATTCAGGGAGGGGGCCACCGGGGCCATGGCCCCCCAAAAGCCTGAAAGGGGGGCCAACATATCTTTTGGCCCCCCTCCCAAAACGCTTGAAGAAAAATTAATGTGAGAAGGTTGCGTAGTAGATACCTAAAAGTTAGAATCACCGGCGTGATTCAATAGCGTAGAGAAACTCAGGGGTGCGGGAACTACTTTCAGACTGGGGGGGGGGGGCACACCATAACAGAGATCAACCTAGGGTCCCCCCGAATCTAGTTTTCTCACCGGTTTTGGGCCACTTATTTTTCATCCCTTGGCTTTTTTCAACAAAAAAAGAAAACATTTGCAAAAAATGGGGTATTCCGTCTGAAAGTTGTGGGGGCACCGCCCCCACGGCCCCATAGTTGGGGGGTGGGCAAGCTGTCCCCACTGCCCCGGTTCCCGTGCCTATGGAGAAACCACCGGGTTTACTAGCTCCCTTCATAAAGTGTCGTCATGTCTTGTCGTCACCCGAGAAGGTCTTATTGCATACATATCGATTGAACTGTCAAGTTAATAAACTTGCTCTGGCAGCCTGACATGACATGACCCGGCAATTTTTCATTCACGGAATATGCGCAATAATTTTTTTAGGAACACTCACTGAGTTGGCGTTGAAAAGCTTGTTTTGTTTGGTAATTGTACAAGAAGCATATCAGGGACCTTTTTGTCCCTTCCCGTGAAACGGTAAAAGACTTATTTCGGTCAGAGCTCAGGCCAATCTCTAAGGGGTCAGTCGGGTCACTTATTTCTTAAAAGGGTCCTTACGGCATCCAAGGACCAATTCCGGCTTTTGAGTGCACCACATCAGCATTTGATGCTGCGACAGATGGTGAAATATGAATCTATGTTACAGGCCGTATGAAAATTGTCCGTTTGCAAACGGCCTGGCCCAGT